CAGGAAAAGTTTAGTCTGATTTAATGTCAGACAGCGAGAAAAAAATGTTTGAAGTCATTTTATGCCGTGGATGTAAACTGTTGGTTTCAACTGTGGGCACACTTTGATGTGGACAAACATCACACAACAAAAGCATCACAAAAGGCAAAAAACAGGCGCCGTACCTGTCCTTGAAGAAGCGACGGAAGCCAAAGGCGATGAGTTTGAGTATCGATTCCAGCACAAACGTTGAGGTGAAGAAGTAGTTGCAGTACTTCAGGGCGAGATCCAGAGACTGCAAAGAAAGAGTAAAAAAAAAAAAAAGAAAGGAAAGAAAAAGTGTGTGTGTTTGTGTGTGTTTGTGTGTGCACGACGGGACACAGTGAATTATCTGCAGCATCAGCAGGGAGAAGCTGGAGTAGCTCCAGTTGTTTGTAGAGTAAAATCAAAGGAGCCAGAGGCCAAAACAGAGCGTCCTCCATTCACAGCATCACAAACTCTCACACATCCCCTATATATAAAAAAAAAAAGCATTTTTAAGCAAAATTGGATTTGCTGAGTGTTTAAATATTCCACAGGCAACCACGTTTTTAATTGCTGCAAACCCGCTCCGGCCTTCTGTTACTACGGAGACTTGATTAGCTTGCCGGCTGTCTCCTCCGTTCATAAATAGAGCCGCGTCTTCTAACAAGTGGGAGGCTGCCAAATGTCAGGACCAAAAGCTCACAAACACGGCCCAGACCTACGATATTTATCTGATGCTCGGTCAGTTTGAGAAAAGCTCGCTCCGTTATCAAAAGGTCAAACGGTCATCTTTATCTCCGGGATAATCACTTTTTTTCTCTCCCTCACAAGGAGTGCTGTCAGGCTTCTGAAACTCCATCCGTCACACATGAACGGACGGACGACTGTACGCCGGCGAACGCGTCGAAATCAGCGGCGCAATCACAGCTCCTTTGTGTGGACAGCAGCTACTCACAACACGAGCTACGGAGCCGGGTTTTGTGGGGGTTTGACCAGTCAGTGGGATCGCTGTGGCTTTTTAAAGTTGTTTGGAGATGAAGGGGAAGGAGATGGGCAGACTGAAAAAGGAAGATTTGATCGACGTAATAAAAACCCTGCGTGGATGCGTCCCTGCTGGCGCGGCTCCTGTAGGAGTCTGTCTGCTTCTGCTTTAGGAAAAGGCAGAAACAAATCATCTCACGCATGCACGGACATAAACTCGTCTTTGTCACCCCACACACGTTGGCACACACGGGTTTTCTTCTTACGTGAGGTTGATTGTAGTGCTCTAAGGACATGGTGATGACGTTGATGCAGATGATGAAGGTGATGATGAGGTCCAGGTAGTGGTTGGTGCACAGTGTGTGGATCATCAGGCGCATGTTGCCGTAGCTGGAATAGTAGGGCAGCTTCTGTGCCTCTGTCGGGGGGAAAAAAATGCCAATTAACGACACCTTTAAGCACATCTGTCCTCTCGTGATTTAACTCCAGGACACACCTCCTCTTCCTCCTCCTCCTCCTCCTCCTCCTCCTCCTGTAAACATGCAAATGTTTCCATCGAATAGGAATCTGAATTGCAGAACACCTCAGTAATTATGACACTTCCCGCTGATGTTATTATTTGTCTGTTTCTATTTTCATCTCTCTTTTAACAATCCTCGTCAGTCTTGATCTCAGCTCAAACAGAAAATGAGCCTATTGATGTTTCATATTCGCATTAGGGGTAAAGTGAGAGCTATTCAAGTCCTTGCTTTCCCACACTTTGCATTTTGTATCATCGCATCTTGTTGTTTTATGATAAGTGTGATGGTTTTTAATCCTATCTTACCCATTTTTACTTTATAAATCTCTGCCTGCTTCTTTCCTTTTTATGGATTTCATCTCACCATCCCTGTGCTGCTCTATTCCTGTCTGGTTTTTATATTTCTCCTCCAGGTTTTAGCCCTTTTCGTGCTCCCTCCTGCCCTCTCAGTGACCATCTCTCTTACTCCTCCTCTTCTTCTCCATGCGCCGCTGGCGTTTCTCCTCACGCCTCTTGGCCTCCTCCACCTCCTGGTGCTGGCGGCACTTGTGGAAGTTCTCCACCACGACGCCGACGAACATGTTGAGGACGAAGAAGCTGACGATGAGGAGGAAGGAGATGAAATACAGCAGCATCCAGGGGTTGTTGTTGATCACCGGCTGGAGAGAATCGACAAAAGAGGCAGAAATGTTAGATATGCTGGTAAAGATGGTGACTTTTCTCTTTTCTCTGTTGTTGTTGATGTACCTGTTGGTCGACACCCACAGCATCCAGGCCGTGGTACATGATGTTGACCCAGCCGTCCTTGGAGGCGAGAACAAACAGGGACATCAGAGCCTGCAACAGCGAGTCAGGAAGAAACACTGTCATCCGTGTTTTATTACACAGAAAAAAGCACATATTAATTATTAATTTGCGCATCACATTGCTTAACATGCATGCATATGAAACACACACGAGCCTCACCTGTCCCAGGTTGTCAAAGTTGTACTTGTGGTGGACCCACTTGTAGCTGGCCTGCAGACAGTCGGACTTGTTGGTGATGTTTTTGACATCGGGTCCCAAGCAGTAGAAGAACTTTCCTTTAAACAGCTGTCAGCGGAAGAACAATGAGACTGAGCTTTTGATGTCATCATGACTATTTACATAAAACACAGAAATAAGCCTTTGTGGGCCCCGTGTGACGAGATGAAAGGGTGAAATAATGAGCTGGTCAAAGATCCCACCAGCCGGAAAATGTTGTGCAGTGATGAAAGAAGCAGGAAGATGACGGAGTTTACTTAAGAGAGACGAAGAGAGAAAATGTACGTGGGCTTCAAAGCTATTAAGGAGAAGAGAGAAGGGGGGGAATTTGTTTTTTTTTTTTCTTGTTGTTGAAAGAATTACAGTGATGGGATGGCAGTGGACACAAATAGACTGGATTATTAGCAATAACAACCCCGCATATGATACACCTGAATAAATAATGTATGCATGGATCAGACAGACGCTTCCTACCTGCACCCCAAGAATCCCAAAGATGATGAAGAACGCGCAGCAGATGAGGACGATGTTGCCGATGGGTTTGAGGGAAGTGATGAGGGTCTCCACCACCAGCTTCAGGCCCGGAGCTCTGCTGATCACTCTGAGGAGGGAGAACCAGAAGAGGAAATGAATAATAATGAAAGAGAGATAGATGGAGGAGCTTGTGAGAAGAATACTTAATGGAAAATGAACTTTTTGCACCGATTATATATGAGTATCGTAGCTGCTGGGAAAGATGCATCTATTGTCAAGTGATTAGCTTCAAAGATTGCTCTCTTGAAAAGAATATAATTTCTATTAAGAAGTTTGTAAACGGCTATTAGATCTTATTGGGAACATTCTGAACTTGTACAAACAAAACTGCACCGAGCTGCTATTAATAACATGATATTCAGCAGATGCAAATTACCTACAAAATTAAAAAAAAAAAAAAAAGAACCCACATCATTTTGGTGCTAGTTTTGGTGCCTACCTGAGGGGACGCAGTGTTCTGAGCAGCCGGAGAACTCTGAGCACGCCGAGGATCTTGGCTCCTCCCGCCATGGACACGACGATGTCAATCAGAGACACGAAGACGAGGAAGCCGTCCAGGATGTTCCAGCTGCTGCGCAGATAAGCCTGCTCGCCCATATACAACCCCATGGAAACCACCTGACGGAGAGCGAGGAGAGGTGAAGCGGCATGTTAGAGCTTCACTGGGCTGAATCTTGTCTGTTTCTGCAACAAGCTTTGCAAATTAAACTGCCAAAAAAAATAAAAAATAACATAAATGTGCAGCAGAAAAGAAAGCAAGGTGAAAGAGGACGAGACGAGATAAAGGCAAAAGTAGAGTACACACTTCTGTGCAGAAAGCATCCACAATAGACAAATAATTCATCTGCCAAACACACACAATATGTGCACACACACACACTCTATACACAAAATCTGCAGAAAAAATGGCACCATTGGCGCCATGCATCACTGCAGAGAGAGCAGAACTAGTGTTTCCTGTAATATCCAGCGCTGCAGTAATAATGCCCCAAAGCCTTTAACTTGGGCTTGTAAAAATATTAGTGTGAAACCGTTTGACGTACGATGAGGCTGTAACGCCTCTGCGAAGGATGAGATATTGTACATGCACACAGATGGATACAGTGTTTTGTGCAGCAGCGGTGGGAGCATTCTGCCTCTTCGGGCAAAAAAAAAAATCTGCAAATGACATTTGAAGCTGTTTGCCAAGTGTCTGGTAAAGCTTCAGAGGGACTGTGGGGGTTGTAGCGCGCAAACATGGAGATGGGTGAAAGATGGTTGTCTGGCAAACATCTGAACGCTGAATGCCAAAATGTTAACTGACCTCAATGGTAAAAAGCAAACCGAGCGTATCGCAAGTGAGTTTGCAATTCTGATTATACACTTTAATCTATATCTAGCGCGTCTGATATACAGTCTGCAACACGCAAGTGTGCACTGGTAGAAACATCACATGTGAAAAAACACACGTGGTCACAAGTGCATGTGTGAAATCACGTTAAAATTTGATGTGAAATATGTGGAACAATGGGTTGTTTAGGTGGGAAATGTAGTTTGGGAACACTTTCATGGTGCATATGTGTGGAACTCATGCGTCTTCTCGTGTGAAAGCCATGAAATTATCTGTAAGGAATGAAAAATCGACTTCCGCGTCATTGCAGTTCAACCTATACTGCTTCTTTTCTTTGTTGCAGAAGTCAGAGCTCACACACTAAAGTGGGGTTGAATGCAAGCGTCACTGTTTCAGCTGTACTTTTAACTGTAATGCCGCAGGTTCCACATGCAGTCCCGTGGGTTTCACACGGGTGTTTGTATAGATTTCACACAGGAATACAAATCAGCTCNTTCACACGGGTGTTTGTATAGATTTCACACAGGAATACAAATCAGCTCCGCATGGAATCCCTTTAGCATCACATACAGTCGAAAACAGAAGTTTACATACACGGTATAAAAAGACACATAACCTTTGTTTTTTCTCACGATATGACATTAAATCAGACTAAACTGTTTCAGGTCAGTCAGGATTATCAACATTATTTCTATTTGCTGAACAGCAGAATAATGAGAGCGAGAATGTTTTATGACTTTCTTCAAAGTCAGAAGTTTACATCTACTAAGATCCTTCAAACTATTCAGGAAAGCCCAGATGATGATGTCATGGCTTTGGAAGCTTCTGATGGGTTAATTTACAACATTTGAGTTAATTAGAGACACACTTGTGGATGTATTTTAAGGCACAACTCAAACACGCTGCTTGCTTTGGTGACAAAATGGAACATCTAAAGAAATCAGCCAAGATTCTGGTAGATTAATCGTAGCAACTGCTTGAGTTCCTTGAAGACGTCTCATCCAAGAGGCTTCATCAGTTCTGACTGACTAGTTCCAGATACTTACATCCTAAGGAGACGTTAACACCTGAATTTCAGTTTCAATTGGGTTTTGTTGCTCCTCCCCCTCGTTATGTGAGTCGTTAGTGCTCCTCCTGCCACAAATGGATTCGTTAGGGTCCTTTTTGGCTAGATGTGGATGTGGTTTCATCTTCCTGGGGAGAGATCTTAGGACTAAACTGTAAACAGGTGAGAGATGATGCCTCAGACCTCCACCTCTGTTGAGGGACGGTCTTTCCAGTTTGACATAGATGGCTTCTTTCACTCTTCTCTCAAACCATCTGTCCTCCCTGGACAAAATCTGTATGTTGCTGTCTACGAATGAGTGTCCTTTCCTTAGGATGTAAGTATCTGGAACTAGTCAGTCAGAACTGATGAAGCCTCTTGGATGAGAGGTGGAACGTCTTCAAGGAACTCAAGCAGGTCCAGTTGCTACGATTAAACTACCAGAATAACCGTGACCTGGAGGACAGAGAATCTTCACAGACAAATCAGCCAAGATATCAGGAAGAGAACTGTGGACCTCCACAAGTCTGGCTTCAAGCACATGTGATGCAAGTTTTACTCCTTCTTCAGTTACGTTTCCCTCTACGTTCTTTGAGAAACTGCTCACACGTTACTACGCTGTTACAAGAGTTTATGATGAGCTCAGAAAATGTGCAGTATTTGTGACACATTACAACATATGGAGAAAATGGTGACAGGGTGAGAGATGCTGCTAATCATTAGAACTCCTGAATATACATTTGCAACGGAGCCACATTGTGTCCGAAGATGCCTCATGCGCTCTAAAAAAAAAGAAATCTCCCCAATTCCTCAACCCCGCTGTGTTGTTCATTTGTTCAGCTGCAGCTGGTACGCAGCACTAAACTCGATGGAGTCCTACAGTGAGATTAATGCCGCACAAACAAACTCACACCGGCACACAATACGTGGATACACAAGGTTCAGACAGACGTGGAGACGAGCGGAGACGCGTACGCCTCGGCCGGGGGGGGGGGAGGCTGACAAGTGTGCGGTTCCTTGACGGGCTGTGATTGGTTAATAATTGATCGTGGGAGTGCATAATTGATGGACCACTTGTGCCAGAGCATTTCCCAGAAAATACAGGGACAGTGGCGGAGCGACGGTGCAAAAAAAAAAATAAGAGAAACAAAAGCGATAGAGAGTCTGGAGAAAGTAGCGATGGGAACAGAGGGACCACAAGGAAGCGGAAACGCAGAGTTATTTAAGAAGCACTTAATATAGGAGAGGACAGGAGGACAGACAGTGTGGGGGAGTGCGGGAGATGGACTGCATCCATAAGAGTAGACTAGCCGCTAATTAATGACATTGCTTAATTGCTCCAAAGGAACATGGGAGTTGCTGGAAAAAAAAAAGGGGGGGGGGGGGGGGAAGAGGTTGTGCTGTGGGAGCACTGAGGCGAAGCCAATTCAGAGAGAGACACAAACCGGAAGACATGGGAGGAGACAGACAGACAAAAAAAGAGCATTGGCAGTGCCGGAGAGACAGGTTGTAAAATGTTACCTTGAGCGTCATCTCGCCCACAAAGATGGCAGTAAAGATGTAGTTGGAGATGGTAAGAAAGACTCTTTCCTGGAGAGAGAGAGAGAGAGAGATGGTTGACAGTCAGAGAGGAGACGGGCCAATTAGGAGCAGTAAAACCTACCTTACTTACTGCACTTTTTAAGATGATAAAATTGAATTAATCCCCGGAGAATATAAACAGCCATCGCACAACAACTGCTTCTGACACACACACACACACATCTGAGATGGATTTACCAAGCTGCCCTGTAGTATCTTGGGTCTCTCCAGAGCCACCGTGATGCAGTTGGAGAAGATAAAGGCCAACACCACGTAGTCGAACAGCTTATGGGCAATGATGGACTGACATATCTGTCTGAACCTGCAGAGAGCAGAAATGTTTTTAGTTTCAAACCCACTGCATTTGTCTCCAAAGGGCCGACACAGCGGAGGGGGAACAATACACAAAAAGGCCACAATCCATAAACCTCCTCCATCCAATCGGAATGGGAGCCAAGCTCCGCCGTGCGCGAGAGCTCCCTCGCATCTTGGCGAGTAAATAGCCTCATTCGGGCCCTGTTTACATCGCTCCTAATTCAAAACAAATTACATTAACAACACTCTGAGAAGCACCAGACTCCAGAGTACAGTGCTCTGCTGGGAGAGCCGAAACGAGAGATAAGAGAGACGCAAACAGAAGAGAGAGGCCGAAAGACGGAGCGAGATGTGTAAACACCGAACACGCATTTCAAAACTTAGACGCCGCGTTCTGCCAAAAAGCAATTAAGCTTCTACCGGCTGCAGCCTTTATTGGCAAAAGAAACGAAAACGAATCGACTAGAACACAGATCGAATTTATTCTAGTCGTTCAAACGGCTTTTATTAAAACGCTCAGCCAGCTTCTAGTCCAACCCGTCCTTGCCGGATTGTAAGACAGCATCAGTATGAGTCAATGCATAATTTAATGAATTGCTTGTGGTATTAAATTTACCCCCTGAGGCTTGTTTCTCTAACAGGAGTTTAAAAAAATACGCCTTTTGTTATTTTGCGAGGTAGTGATCGATGCTCTAATGCAGCCCCTCTTTGTGTGTGCTTTGCAAACTGTCCTTCCTGTTGATGAGGTGAGGAACAGAACCTGGCAACCCGTCCTTGATATTGTTTGGGCGAGATTCATCCCGTAGCCGGGTTGCATTGTTCGTTTCCGAGAGGCTGTTAGGGCTTTGGCTGCACACGTTTTTGAATGAACGCGGTGTCGGGAGAACAATCGCTAGAAAGCAGCAGAAGGGATAATGGTGGCTCACTTGTTCTGTGGGGAGAAAAGGAAGACGGACCAGTCCTCTCTGGTCTCGCACCAGTCCGGCCTGTACGCCTCCAACATCTTCTGGATGCGGAAGCACAAGCTCTGCAGGAAACATATCAAACACACATCACACACACACACCCAGGCAGAGACACACAGAACAAACCGCCTGTTCAGACCCCACATTTAAATTATTTACAAAAGCGAAACACTTATATGGAAACAGCTCGGAGCATCTTCCAACATTACCATCTGCATCGCTCTTTCCCCCCGCTGTCTAAACAGTCCTTTCTAATTAACCTTGTTTCTCTCTTACACAGACTTGTTTACAATGAAAACAATGGGACTCCCGCGAGGTTCAGGTGATAGGGAGTGCGGGCTTTATACAAAGTGCTTGAAAATCCTACACAAGAGAGGAAAGATTATGTGTAAAAATCTTGTACTTGGATAAAAACGCTAATGGTTTAGCTGTTGAGACTCACGAACATCGATTGTGTCTCTTTTTAGGTGCTTCTGTAGATTGCAAATCCTTTCTTTTCTGAATGCCGTTACCATCCAATAGTAACTCACGTATTCGATGTCGTCATCCAGGTCCTCCCGGTCCTTGCTGCGAGCGTTCACCTGGGGGAAGACGTCGGCCATCAGGTGGCTCTGGGGGTTCGCTCCTTCCGTCTGCTCGGTCTGAAGTCTGGGAGGGGGCTGGAGAAGCTGTGAAAGTGGAGTCTTCCCATTGCAGTCTTGGTGAACCCCCACCAAGTCCCCACCGCCGCTGATCACCATCCCTCCAGAGAAGCTCTTCTTCCTGTGCTGAGCGTGGAGCGCCATGGGAGGCAGCGGGTGGTGGTGGTGGTGCGGCGGTGGCGGCGGCGGCGGCGGTTGTGGGTGAGGAGCTCCTGGAACCTGCAGCAGGTGGGGCAGCTCCAGCGACAGAGCCCTGCGGTCCCTGCGGGGTACGAAGCAGCCCGGCAGCATCGGATGGGGAAGGTGGAGAGAGTGGGGGGCGACGGCAGGCGGTGAGAGAAGGGACTCCTCCTCGTCTGGCTGGACGTGGTGGAGGTGGCGGTGGGGCGACGAGGAGGCGCGGGGGCCGCGGATACGAAGGCTGCCTCCGACCACCCCTCCTAGACCCCCCAGGCCGTAGCCATAGAAGGGCCTGGTGGAGGACGGGGTGAAGGCTGGGCTGGAGGAGGGGGACGAGGAGGAGCAGGGCCGGCACCCTCCCAGGCTGTTCCAGCTGGAGCGGCGAGCCCACAAGGCGTGAGGCTGAGGGGGCAGCACCCGGCCCCAGTTGTGGTAGCCTCGACCTGGATACTGAGACACAAACAAACGGAGAGGTTTTCTTCTTTCTTTAATTCTGAGCTATTTTCTGTCTGTGACTCTCTGAACACAAATAAGCAGATCAGACATCAAAACGTCTCTCATATAAATGGAATAAAGGAGAATAAATCAGTGTAATCATATATTATTCATTACATAAAAGAGAAACACCTCTGTCTGCTGGGTTGGGAAAAAAAAAGAAGCAAAATTGCTGTTGCATATAACTGCTCTTCACATTTAGGAGGAATTGAAAAACCTTTGATATGATGCTGATGAAAGTCCATTGTGAATCAATGAATAGCACTGATTCAAAGGACGAGGAGCAATTTAAAAGTTTCAAAGTTTGTCTCCAGTGTGTTCCTGCTGAGCTGTGTTGGTAAACGCATTGCAGCGCACATGCAACATGTTTGAGCTCTCTGAAGAGGACTTGTGGTACGCATGATGCAGGTGTGCATCTGTGACGTCCCCACAGGTCTGTAAAAGCATCACTGGGTTGGGTTTGTGGCTACAGCCCAGACACCAAACACCAGTCTCCAAGAAGGTGTTCCAGGTCAGAAGCACACCAAGAACTGTTTCCTCGATATTCACACGTGAATCCATCCCCGAGGGCCAGACTGTCAACGCTGAGCTCTGCTGTATCAGTCAAACATCTGGGAGCGCTGAGAGTATCGCTGCACAAGGAGACCACTTATTTAAATCAGGGACACTTTTTGCTTTTTATAGGCAGAACTCTGAACATTTGATTGCACCTGGTTTTTTTTTGGCCTATAATATTCTCGTCACACAGTTTCTGTCGAATCCCAACACAAACCAGTCACTCAACCCGCAACTAACGATCAGCGGCTGCGTTTTCCTCTCCGTGTACGGTCCCCTCCACTTACCACAGCCCTCTGCTCAAGGTTGGCCCTGCCGAGGGAAATAACACTATTCTTCCTGGAGCCCAGAGCGAAGGTCAACCTCTCTCCAGGGAACAGACCGGCGGGCAGCGTGGACAGGTCCAGGTGCCCATTAGGGGTCAGCGTGCAGATCTTTGGGTCTGCAGGAGAGAAGGGAAAAGGAAATGTAAGCAACGGTGTTAAGTGGAGGGAGAGAGTGGAAATAAAACAGCCAAAGAAATAAGCTTGAAGCCTCTCTTTGTTTACCGTCCCTCTGTTGCTGCTACGAAAGCTGAACTGTACGCCATAAAATGTCCTAAAACAATGTTATAGGCGGCTCTGAGGAGCAGAGGAAGGTTTAATTTACACTAAATTGCCTCATAATAGAGAAGCAGAGGAACATCCACCAGTGGTTCGTCCACTCGCAAACAAATCATCGGGTGGTTTTTCGTTCACAGTGACGCTTAAAAGGTGCGTTTGGACTCGGGGGAGCCGTGATCGGACGCTAGCAGCCTCCCTAATGCGCTGCTAAATGCTACTCCGTGCTGCAGGATGCTCGGGTTGGGTCGAGGGGATGGAAAGGTGGCGTCGGGTCATTTAAAGTTTGCTCAGCTCACATTTCAGAATGGAAAAAGGTGCTCGGCAATCATGAGGTGATTTTGATGCCCGAGGCACAACAAATCAGCTGACAGCTTTCTGCCATGCTGAAGGTGTAGGAGACTGGTTACGGTACCACCTGGGAGCTTGAATACGACGGCGATCTGTGCATAGTTAGACAATAACAACAACAGTACCGGAATGAGCAGCCAAAGGACCAATTAGGAATGTTTTTAGTTCTTTTTTACTAACGATTATCACTGAAAACACACTCTTATGCAGGCGTACGTTGTAATTGCGAAGTAATAAATGAAAGTTAGTATCGACTGATTAAACATTCATGGTGATTCTTTTTTAGAAATTATAAGAGGCCTTATTATCCAAAACTACTCCAAAGCTCTTGGAATGGTTCGTACCTGAGAGGTGCAGAGGGTCTTTCTGCTTATCGTTTTCGTCAAAATTGCAGGAAGACCTGTCGTCGTCCGAGTAGGAGCGGTTCGCATCTCCCTGTTTCGGGGACAGCGAAGGAAAATAAGTGAGAGAGAGAGAGAGAAAGACTGAGGCATGAAGAAACAAAGAGGATGAAGCCGAGTGGAAAGAAAGTTCGAAATAATGAGCAATTACAAGCTGATTTAAATAGGAGCTGCCAATCTCCCCCCCCTACCCCTCCTTATTACCCAACTATCTAAGGGACATTTTCTCTCAGACCCACCTGCTTTATTCTCACTTGTCAAATCGAAGCTCTGAAACAGAAGCGTCTGAAGTTGATTTGTAGCTCTGACACAAGTCGGCGCTTTGCAAACTATTGAGTCTTCAATTATACTAACAAATCCATATGCAGTGGGGACATATGCTGGTTTTCTCAGCGTTCATTATCATTTAAATTATATCATGCCGACTTTACTTTGCTTTAGTTGTTAATTTGCTGCCGGCATTGCACAATAATGAACATCGGGATGAAAATACGAGACGTAAACATGTCGGATTAGAGCAAAACTGCTAATTTGCATTCATAGTTTGTAGGCAGGTGGTCTTGCACGTCCAAACCGCTCTGTGCTGCAGCTGCTCTGGCTTGTTTGTATTTCTTTAAATCAGTCACAATTGCAAAGCTAAGCCCAGGATGCAGCAACGGTGTCCCCTCAAATTGCGCTGAACTTTTGTATGCTTGTTAAAAAAATTCACTGCAAAAAAAACAAAAAAAAAAAAAGTAGCAGCGCTGCAAAATCCTCCATAAGACATGAAATTTTCAGTATGGCGGGTTGCTGCCTGCAGGTTGTTGTTGTTTCATGGAGCGAAGGGGATGTTGAAAGAGGTAACACACAGGTATTGACGGGGAGGAGAAAGCCAATGGCGATGCTACACTCCTGGTTTAAACCAATAAAAAGTGAGAAACACAGAACACGACTTGTCCCACATCTTTATTTATTTAAGACACGCCGCCTGCTGCCTTACCTCGGCCTGGAAACCCTCCACCAGGATGGCAACGAGCAAATTAAAGAGCACGTAGTTTCCAAACGTCATGAGAGCCACGAAGTAGAGCGCAGCGAAGGGCGAGGTGGACGCCATGCCGTTGTACAGCACCATGTTCCAGTCCTCCTGAGTCAGAATCTACGGCAAATGCAAAACACGCATTTGTTCCTTTGTTCTGCACACGGGTGCAAAAAGGTGTCACGAGCTGCTCGTCTCACCTGAAAGACCGTGACGATGGCCCAAAGCAAGGAGTCAAAGTTCTTCCTGTCGGGCACCGTGTCTCCTGCTTCTGTCTTCAAGCTGAACTTGCAGCCGAATATATGCATCCCCAGAATACTGCAAGACAACAAGGGTTCTCTTTAACAGTCATTTAGTTGAGTATAAAAAGCAGTTATGTTGCTAAACTGTACATTGCATAGAATCAGTGGGAGTTTTAGCATTTATTATAAAAACTTTAGACATAAATGTTCACAACAATCTTCTATTTCTTTTTTTAATTTTATGCTTCCTCCCCACGTTTTGCTCATGTGTATGTCGTCACAGGGGCTGTAAATTCCAGACCGCCACGCCGTTCACGTCACCCTTCATCGGCGGTTTTTGTTAAGAGCGATTAAAAGTTGAGGTGACACCGTAAAATATCCGTTGGGTTAAAGCTGCAGTGTCTGGATGCATAAGCCAAATGCCACTTGCGCAGGACAGCATTAGCTGGCTAACAGCTCAAATGCCATCTGTCTTGGCACGCTTGTGCTCAGTTGCTGTGCTGCAGGGGTAAAGAAGCTGGCTGGCAGGTATGCACATACACACACACACACACACACACACGTATGAGGTCACCAACATATGTGCACCCATAAGGATACAGGCAGGATGATAGCATTATGCCGTAACTCATCATATTTTCCAATCTCAAAGTGACAATTAAGGGAAAAAAATGATTTAAATAACAATGATTTTGCTAATACAGCCTCATTTCCAATTATCACCCACGTAGCTGCAGTTTGACGGTGCAGGTGTGCAGAGGAGAGATTAAGCTAAATGATGACATTATAGTCTGTAGCATCCACATCACAATATTCATTTAGTTGTAATGTAAAGGCCATAATGCAGCTTTACCTGTTAGATGTAATTGAGCAAATAATTTTAAAAAATATTCAAATAATTCAACCTCTCTGTTCCTTGGATTTTGTAGCTGACTTAGTGGGATGATTGGAAAGCGTTGCTAATTGACGAAGCGTCAAAACTTCAGATGTCAGTTTTAAATTAAATCAGCTTATTTATATGCCTGCGGGAATCTGGATCTGTCACTTCACCGCGGTAGTTTAACTTTCGTCATTGTTCTTCTCTCCGAGGTCCGTCCGTCTAATTTAATGGAAATTCAAAAAGTTTCACGCGGTGCAGACAGTTTCAGCAACTCATAACCTTCATGGCGGAGGTAATGCCGGAGGAGGAGCCGGGTCAAACGGAAAAGCCTTGGCACTGCCGAGACACGGTTTGGGCAAAAAATGGGGTGGAACTCCACTAATTGGAAGTTAATGCTATTATTTTCTGCAAAGTGTGTTCAGGCCTTCAGCCATGTCTGCATAAACCAACATAATCTTCTTATATTCTGTGAAGGTTTTTCCATTTTTTATTTTTTTTGCTTTCGAAGTGGCAACAAAAGGTTAAACTGTTAAAGCATCTGCACTGCGTATCCACACACACAGAGTTTATTCATGTAAACACCACAACGTGTTCTTATCAACACTGTCCTGTTCATTTCTTTTCTCCACGCCTCGTCGTTACCTGAAGATGAAGATGAAGAGCATGAGCAGCATGCAGAAGGTGGCCACGTTGTCCATCGTCTTCATCAGCACCACCAGCTGCCGCCTCAGCGCTGGCATGAACCTCACCAGCTTGATGACCCTCAGCAGCCTGAACGTCCTCAGCACAGAGAGGCCGCCGTCCGCCTGGCCAATGATCTCACAGACGCTGGGGAGCGAGTGCGACAGGGTGATGAGTGGTGAAAGTGTAGAGAGAAAGATCCAAATTAATAGGAGTGGAGAGAAAGTAAAGATTAGATAAGAAGCTAAGTCAGCCGGTTAAACAGAAAAGTCACTGCTGTGCATTATCAAGATGGAAAAAGTTTAAGACCACTCATAATCCATACCAGGGTGAGAGGGAATACTGCTGCATTTTGCATTTATCTGCTAAAACTCTTCCTATATTCTTTGTCAGATAAAAGAATCTGTGCAATTAAATGCAAAGTTTCATTGGAAATGCACTAAAAAACGTTTTTCAAGATGATTTTATGCCTAAAAATTTCCACGAGGACACACAGTGCCTAACGAGTTTATTAGACCGCTGCCCGATGAAAGGTTTAAGCCTAAATTAACAGCACAAAAACAGTTTCTGTAATGGTTAATGCACCAGTTTGTAGAAGCTCTTCAGCCAAAAAGATATTTTTAATGCTAAAATCTAATTAATATTGTTTTCCACGAATTTTCAGATTTACTGTTTTACAAAAAAAAAAAAAAAAAAGTGAAGCACGTTATTATTTCTTGACTAATTTCAAATTATATTTATTCACTTGCATTCTTGAGCAGGAAAATTAGTTTTAGTGGCTGAATGTGATGCTTGATTCATTTCAGAGAAGCCCAGTGAGTCGGCTCACGTTTGGGAATAAAAAGGTGAATTCAGTTTGAAATGCGTTATTCCCGTTCAAAATGGTAAAATGTCAAGACCTGAGTGTGCATTCAGTATATAAATATATATAACACAGTGTTTAACAAGTTAGACAGGTGGGATAATAAATGTGTTAAACATTAGATGCTCAATCATCACACGTTTGGACAAAAGCAGTGAAGCCCTCCTGCTCTTGCAGATAACCGACCTGATGATGACAATGATGCCGTCGAAGATGTTATACGGGTTCCTCAGGTACTCGAAGAAGCCGAAAGCGGTGAGCTTCAGAATCATCTCCAGGGTGAACATGCTGGTGAAGACGATGTTGCAGATCTCCAGGACGTTGGTCAGCTCCTCGGGCTTGGCGGAGGTCACAGAAACACGGAGACAGCGTTACAAGTGAGTAAAGAGCTGCAAGATCTAAAAACCGATCGCCGATTAACACGGCGACGGCAGGTATAATAAAACTGCTCCTGCAAAAATAAAAACAACAAAAAAAAGCAATTCTGGCCTGTGCTGAAAAGGCTGCCACTTAAACTGTCAATCACTTGAAAAAGAGATTTCTCCCCTCTACCTGGATGATCAAATTAAAACCTTATCTCAGAGAGGCAACGGTCAGAAGGGAAGAAAATGAAAAATAAGGGGGGAAAAAATTGTGCTTTCGAGCTCAACTGTTTATTTGAAATCGTAAAGAAGAAAAAAAATCACATCAGCAAACGTAAAATAAAACAGGAAATGAGAACGGGAACGGAGAGCATGTAGTGTCTGTGTAGCACACGGTGTCAAACAGAGTGCGTTATCTGGAAACGGCAGACGAACACATATGAACCAAACACATGCTTCAGTCAATTCAGGGTTTATTTCCATTTCTATGCGCGCGTGCACGAGTCGCTTTGTGCAAGTTCGCTTCCCGTGTGTGAGCGAACGTGCACGATATGGATCAGATGCTTTTCTCTGATACCCCCTGTGAGTTTCAGTTTCAAAGCCAGCGGAGGAATAGCCAGCTAGCCCTGCCAAAGTTAGCAAACCATGTCAGAGAAAAACACACTCTCGCACCCTCCCCTCCTCTAATCCGCTCCCAATCTATCTCCATCCCCCTTCGTTCTCCGCGCCTCTTTTTCTTTCTCTTTTCTGAGTCTCATTATCAGGCAGACCCATCTCTTCCCAATCAATATCCTCCTGTCGATCAGAGGAGGAGAAGAACCCGGCTGGAGGAGGAGAAGATGAGAAAGCAGAAGGATTGCTTTGGCGACACGAGGAGAGTAAAAATACTTGAAGAGAGATGAGGAAGAAGGGAATGAAGGGAAACAACCACCCTCCCCCTGAAACGGTCTCAATCTCACGAGCTCAATCTCGACTGTGAAAAGTGCTTGAGCTCGGTAGCTGGAAGGTGGCTCCGGAGAAGTTGAGGTGATTACTAGATGGATCGTAGCAGTAAATATGGAACAAAGACAGTTTGATCCATGAGCAGCTGCTCCAACCTTGACCTCTGTCCAGGAGTCCCTCGCTGGTCCCAGATACAAACACAGGATTTGGGATTTATCGCTATTGACGGAGCCATCACAGCCCTCGACACCACAGTTTAACTCAGACAAAATACCGTCATTACTGCGCCTTCCTTCTTTTGGCCCTATTACCTCTGATTGCCATGATTCTCCTCATATTCTCCCCCCATGTTGCTTCCCTTCGCCATCCATCCGTATGAATATTTCATATTTTATCCCACGATACAAATGTCCTCTTTCTCTCTTGAAATATGTCGGCGTGAGTGTCGCTTGAATACGAATGAAGGAGCTTTCCGGTAAGAATGCAAATAGGCGGGACTGTCTTCAGACTTGATGAATTAGTGATCGTGATCGGACGCAAATGTGAAAAAAAGAAATCTTCTATTGTCAAAGGTCGCTTAAAAAAAGAAAAAAAAACATTGCAAGGTCACTACTTGTGCAGCAAAATATGCATTTTTCATTTCAGATCACACTCAAGCAGGGCGCGGCAGCTCCGCGGGTTAGTCATGTTTCAGGCTTCGGATTTTTAGAACAAAAATCGCATGAGGTAAGACTTTTCTGCTGCAAAAACAAAAGCAGCACAAGCGCCTGTGAGTGTGCGAGATGTGTGTGTGTGTGTGTGTGTGTGTGTGTGTGTGTGTGTGTGTGCTTCTGCATACATGCCTGCTTTGAAATGCACACACTCACTCGCACACTGGGAATTGAGTCGAAAACTGCTGTGTAACCGGCGTCTGCCTCGCACTTCCCCTCTCGCTTGTCTCCTCCTCTCTCCTTCTTCCCCCCACCACCACCACCACCGCCGCCACCACCGCCGCCGCCCCACACAACCCTCGTTTATTTTTAGAGTCTTCCGAGATGAGAGAAAGCAACTACTCTGTACGCTGTCAAAGAGTGAGTGGGTGGATGAGAGAGAGGGAGAGAAAGTGGGGAGGCAAAGAAGAGTCGGAGAGCAGATGAGACACTTGGGGTAAAGGCGGGAAGGAAGGAAGACGCTGAGGAACAAAGGAACAAGTGGGGAAAAGGTGGGAGAAGGTAAAGGGGAGAGAGGTGCAAGGAGGGGCGGCGTTGGGAAAAGTGAAAACGAAGGGAGAGGCCGTCTTATGTAACAGCCGTCTACGTGGCTGCATGTGTTTCCGTCGGCGCATAAACACAAATTTGTGCGCGGCCCCTTTGTGTTTGTGCATGTGTAATCTTGGCAGGCTTCTCCCGCTCGGCGCTCTCAGACACCTGCCTCGTCTGCCTCTGAGGAGCCTGGCCAATGTTAAAAGCCAGCTCAGTTTTGTCTACCGCTAGGCTAAATGTTTACACCTCTGTCAGGAAACTGTACGCCACCGATGCTCCACTCCCACGCTCCACTCTCTGAATGTCGTCTGCCATTATGGTATTTCTCTGATTTTGTTGGAGCGAGAGAAAATCACGAGCAATACTCTAAAGCGATCGTTGTGTTTTGTGGTCTTGCAGCTTTTGGTAAGAAAAAAAAAAAAAAAGTGGTGATGTCTTAATTGAAAGACCCAGAGAAACAACAACACAGTGTGTAAAGCCTGTTTGATTGTTTAATAATTACAGTTTGCTTTAATTCCGTGATACCAACCTGCAGCGAATTGTTCATCCACCGTGAAAGTGAAAAGGTGGGCAGCGCAACTCAGGAAATTAGCAGAAAAAGCGTGACGGGCCTCTTGTTTAAATAGAAAAAAAATCAATAAATAAGGACCGATTAGAATACCTGGTTGTGATGCTCGATGCCCATGCTGATGGTGTTGATGAGGATGGCGATCATGATGCCCCTGCTGAAGTACTTGCTCTCCACGATGCCCCAAAGCTTCCTCCTCATGTCGTTCCAAAGGTCCCTGCAGCGCCCGAAGCACGTCCTCCTCCTCCGCCTCTTCTCGCCACCGTCTCCCCTCTCCTCCAGGTGGTTCTCCTCTTTGCCCGTCTCCTTCACGGCGTCCTCCTCGTTCTCCTCGCCGTTGGCCGACGGCTCGCCCCTCTCCTTCAGGGTCAGCGCGCATATGGGACAGTCCTCTGGGTTCTGGGGGACGGACAGGCTGATGGAGTTGGCGAGCGGCTGAGACTCGTGGTCCGGCTTGCTTTGGTGTGGACAGTGGAAAGCTGCAGGGACACAGTGACGGGACGCACCTCAATTATACAAAAGATTGCGAGTGTTTGGGGGGAAAAGTTTCAGAAACTATTTCATCAAAATGCAGAAAAGGAGGTAGTTAGTCACCAGATTATTTTCCATTCAACCAACTTCCAGCTTTGTGCGAGCATCATTATCTAAGAGTTGCGTAATCAAATCAGGTTGTCATCATGTTTTTTAAAACCTATTCACTTCTGACTGTTACACAATTGCACAAGTTACATAAAGGAGATATTCCCAAATTGTTTTTTCTTCCCGAGACCCTTCGACTCACATCTCGGGTGCCTCGAGTGATGCCGCTCTCCGTTGGCGTGCCCGCCGCCACGCCTGTTGCCCCGGCCTCCACCAGCCGGCGGCGGCTTGCCCCTCAGCGTGTAGTAGAGAGCCGCCGATCTCCTCTTAGCCTTGCGGAGGACGTGGCAGACCAGCTGGAAGATCTCCTCGTAACAATCCCCCGGCTCGGCCATGCTGGCCAGCGTGGAGGAGGACAGGCACTGCGCCCTCTGCTCCTGCATCAGCTGGTGTTCTCGCTGTTTGGTCTCTGAGAACTGGGTGGCGATAACCACGAGGCACAGGTTGATCATGAAGAACGAACCGATCTGGACGAGGAGACGGAGAGTTGTGTGAGTGTGGAGGGGGAGAACAGAGAAAGCGCTGCAGGGATTTTTCATTTCCCCCCCTTAAGAATTAAAAGTTTGACAAAAGAGAGGTGAAAGGCTAAATGCGTACATCAGGGTTTAACAGAAACACAAGAGAAGCTCAGCGCCTTATTTGAGCAACCAGCCTACGGCCAAAGCAGATGCTGCTCATTTAAGAAACATGAAATATGTGAGGAGTCGTGATGTTCTGACGGTAAACACACACTTGTTTGTAGATCTAACTCACACACTTGCCGATTCTAATAATGTGTGCCAATGCCCCTGTAGAAATGTTAGCACACATGCTAAAGGTCTCGGAGGGCTGGCTTCCCACCAAACCGAGGCTGATTGGAGCAGACAGACAGAGCCAACACATGCCCAAAGCACAGTTCAGCGTCTGGCTATCTTTTCTCTTTTCATTCTGTGCCTTGACTTAACTTTCCCCCGTTTTGCCCCGACACTTAACACCATATTTCTTTTTTTTTAAAAAATCAATCTTTACCCGCGCAACGAAACCAGACAAAAATCATTCTTTCATTTTCTCGTGCCTGCGTTCTATTTCTTTAGCCATCAGTATCACTATTTTCTTGTCGTTTTCCTATCATGAGTCAAAGTGAGATTAGAGGGGAGGATAGCTGCAGAGAGGAGATGAGGCGCGTTGTGGACGGCGCATGTTGACCGAGCCTCTTAATGGGAATCGCTACAGCACGGCTAAAATGGCTTTTATTGGAGTACTCGGAGCGGGTTACAGAACAATGATTAGATCGATACCGGCTAATGCTGCGCAACTCAAAAACCAGACGGCTGGATGGACGGAGCGGCTTTTAGCTGGTTTGGTTCATTACAAATCTGAACATGCATCCCTCTCTGGCTCGAGATAGATGGACAGATATGGAGAACACACGCAGACATGAGCCCCAGGAATGCTCAATAAAACATGCACAGACATAAAAATCCAAACATAATGACCTTCCACCTCTAGACTTTCATCCGCCGTGATCAAAGATGAGGTGAAGGAGAGAGCTGGGAGGAATGAAATGAGGCAACTCCACAGATATTTACAGGCAGAGAAAGATGGAGAGAGAGAGGGTTTGTGTGGAGGAGAAGGAGGAGAGATACCCATCTGTGGCCTGTGGGTCAAAGCAGGTCTGCAGGTGTGTGAGGCTTTGATTTCCCTCCAGGTTTGCATCTGTGTGTGTGTGTGTGTGTGTGTCTGTTCTGTGATTCTGATCAGCAGACAGCTTTACGCATAATCAGGGAGGGCAGTCCAATATCACGCATTCAGATGATCGCTGCATTATGCATGCATGCAAACACACACACACACATATTCACACAGACAAAAGCATTCGGGATCACACGTACAAATGAAGGCTTAGCGTCCACGTGTGTGCTCTCCTGCAGCAGCTGTCACAGACGTTTATGTATCCGTATAGATATATATATTTTCTTCCTGACACACAGAACTTCTTAGTAATCGCCCTCTTGGCCGCATTTACTTCCATCTATTCGTCAATGTGACACCAAAGCACTTAGGTTACACACTTGACAGTATATCAGGTTATGAGCAGCCAGAGACGGGTCTTTGTGTTTGATACTGTCGAGGTCAAACTTCTTTTCTGTATCCCAGAACGCGCTCACTTACAGGATCAATTAACCGGCTTTAAAGCAGAGTGTACTGCAACTTAATAATGACACAACGGAGACGGCGAGGGAGACAGACAGAAAGAATTAGCCGAAGACGCTAAGTGGAAGGACTACAAAGGGAAAGAATGGGAGCAGTCAAGGTGATCCAGACTGTGGCTGCAGCACCGCGAGCGACTGAGAGCTGCTCGTGGTGTCGGCGGTGCTCCCCCGGCTTCCCTCAGGACGACCGACTACAAGTTGGACTGGATCCTTGCGAGGAGGCTCAAAAGGGGCGGCACATTTGTGTCAATCAATCAGTTCGTGGTATGAATCATTTGTGCCAGCAGTGTCTGGCTGTTCCCACACCGAAAGCCTTTTCTAAAAAAAATTTCTCTGGTCAGTTGCATCAGAACTCAAACGAAACTTCAGGTTATCCGTTGGGCCTTAATGTAATTGGATTAAAGGGGCTGTAGAATCTGCAGGACGTGACACGGTGGCAGCATAAAGCAATTATGCTGTAACGTGACACCGTGTCAGCTTTTGTTGCCAAAAGGATGCTGCCAATGCCGAGCTCAGGCCAGATCCGCCAAAGAGTGGATGAAATGTACAGCTTCTGTTGTGACACTGGGAAGAAGGAAAAACAACAACAACAACAGCAGAAACTTCCTCTCATTATGAGGTAATGCACAAACCGTCAGCCTGCATCTCGCCGTTCATTCACTGACTTGTCTTTGCTCATCACTCCCTCCTCTCTCGCCGCCTTTCTTCTCTTTTTCTGACTTTACCAGGCAGTATCGCTATTTCTTAAAGCGTTCACCTGCTGTTGGGAAAGTGCAACATCTGGGACTCTATTGTACATCTGCTGCCGCACAGAGGGACCGAATGCCATTTACAGACAGCCAATGGCACGTGAATGCAGAACTACACAACCTTCATTGTGCCGCCATCTGGCACAGGATGCAAAGAGCTGATGTAGCTTTTGCACAGAGGCTGCATACAATAAAAATGTTCTTTAGGACACTTCTTTTCTCTGTTTTTTTTTTTTTTCAGCAGTCCATCCTCCTCTCCCTTTTTTTTTTTCTTACTCACCGCCAAACACAAATTTACGTAACATCCACCTCCTCCCCTTCCTCCTTCAGACATCGATCGCAGACGGTCCTTTATGCTGCCATTGATTTCCACAAATCTATTAACACTGCAATTCACCACTCAGGAAATATTCCCATTCAATGTATTGATAGAAGAAGGCACAAATATTGGAAATGTTATGAAGGATTTTTATCTTGTGTCGTTGCACTTCATTCTGTTTTTTTTTTTGCAATCATCGCAACACGCTGGACGTGTTGGCAGGAAAGCAGAATGTTTAATAAATGCTACTTACAATGATGAGTAAGATGAAGTAGATGAAATTGTAGAAGGAGTGGGCATCCATTACATAATACATGATCTCAACCCAGCCCTCCAGAGTGATCACCTAGAGGGCAAACAGTCAGCCGAGAGTTAACACTCACACAGATAACTGCAAGAAAAAGCTTCACGTCATCACATATTTAAATCTATTGCATTGTAAACAAAAATATTGAGTTAGTGCTCGAGTCAATCTATTAATGTAAAGTTAACTGTTTTGCGACATACGATTGAATTTTAATGATTCAATCAATCAAATCTTGGCTTTGAAGGAAATTATTTAATCAAATAGCAGTGATGCACGATATTAAAATTTCTGGCCGATACCGATATTAAGATTTCTGAAATCACTGATAACCGATATTACCGATATTTTTGTTCACAATGAAAAATTTGTATAAGTAAGCACTGTGGGAACATGAGAACTATTCAAAAGAAGCCCAAATTAGACCACAGACTTTTTTTTTTTTTTTTTTTTACAAAAGTAAAACATATTTTTGCATATCTACTGTTCAAGTCCACGATCATTTAAGTAAAAACATCTGTGAAACAGCGGCATTATCAAATGTAGATGTGAAGGCACCAATGCTAGACAGTCATCGGCTAAATTTATTCATACCGATATATCGGAAAAAACACTAATATCGGTCGATGTGGTCACGATATATCGTGCATCCCTATCAAACAGCATCATTTAATAGCTAACAGCATGTAATGCTAATGTTACTGCAGGACAGACAGAAACAGGAATTCAAAGTTTGGAAATTCTAGCGATTTACTGAGGAGAGTGAAGCTGTTGTATCGCTGCAGAGAAGAGGAACATAAAGTCTTATTCTTCTAACCTCCCCATGGATGAGAATAACACATGCAACCATGGTAACCCAAAAGATGGCGACAGCTGTGGCCTCAAAGTACGAAAACTAAACGTCTCAATCAAATGACAAAAAAAAAATTACTAAAACTAATACACATTTTCATTACAAGACTAAATCAAAATCAACCAAAAATAGCCAACATACCTGAAAAATTACAATCCAGGCGTAGACAATGTTGTCAAAGTTGATGGCACCTTTGTGAGGGTTGCTGTTCCCAGTGTGGCACCGGGTGTAGTACTGGTTCCAGTTGATGCACAGACCCATGGCCTCCCCGGCGCCGCTGCCGTTGGTCAGAGGCTCGGGACTCAGGCCTAGAGCCTGTCTGTGGAGGGCGTCCTCCTTGTCCAGACAACACGTACGTCCTCCCTCGCGTCTCGCCGGCACGTCGGTGCACGACATGATGCCGTTATCGGACGCCAGGGAGCAGATGAAGGGGCGCTCGTCGTCTTCCTCCGGCCGGTAGTAGGGAGCCGGCAGGGTCATACCTGAAGAGCTGGTACGGTGGGAAAAAAAAGAGTTGGAATCTGCATACACAAACTCATTTTTATCCGATTTCACCACTTCATTTGAAGGGTTTCATGAGGATTTCATTGAAAGAGGAAGAGTCAAGAGGAAGTGAGCGGGGAGAATGGATGTGAGAGATGATACATAGTGCATTCATTGAAGCGAAACCCCCAGAAGTGCTCAACCAGGCCTGTGGGATAAATGCATCGCTGAAGGCAAGCATGAATAAAGAAATGCAAATGATCCTGCAAGTTCAGGGAGTGTATACTCTCTCGTTTTCCATCTCACACACACACACAGACGTGCACATCCTCACTAAATTTATATACATAACCATGTACGTATGCGCTTGGACCTTCCCGTCTCTCCTCTGCCCTTCTCTCTTTTTATTCTCCAATCCGGTCTGAATACAAACACACACTGGAGAGTAGATCTGGAAGCTGATGACTGCATCGGCACAGAGCAGCAGTAGATATACAGTGTGTGTGTGAAAGCGTAACGCAGCAGTGAACTAACAGCCGACGCCTTGAGCTAGAGCAGCCGACCCAAAGGAAGCGGGGCGGGGTCGTGTGTCGGTCAGGACGTTGTAAAAAATTTTAGAAACGAGCGTCCGGAGGGGAAATCAAGCAGCACCTAAGACTTCACACTCAATTACGTGGAGTTCTTTATTTGTCTTGTTTAGAGAACAAAGCTGGGCGGCAAATCGTCACATTTAGTTTGGCGCTGAAGGTTTCGTGTGTTGGATTTTGTTAGAAAACGAGGTGAACTGTACACAAGGCAAAATGCAAACACAGTTCAATATATATGTCATAGTTATTTCCATCCATCCATTTTCTATACACCGCTTAATCCTCATTAGGGTCGCGGGGGGGGGCTGGAGCCTATCCCAGCCGACTTAGGGCGAAGGCAGGGGACACCTGGACAGGTCGCCAGTCTATCACAGGGCTACACGTAGAGACAGACATGTCATAGTTATTATTTTATACATTAGATTTTAAAACTAGACCTTTTTAACATATAAATGCTTCAGTTGTGCAGAAGTAACCAACCAGTAGCACTGGCAAGAGGTTATTTGTTTAAATTAAGAACAATAAGCATTCGATATAAAGCGAAGCAGCACTTCTGGGCAGAATGTTCATAAAAATGTCTCGTTTTAAAAAAGAAAACTGGTATGAAAACGTATTTAGGACAAGAGGACGAGACCACGACGTGTTTACAGAAGCATGTGTTGTTTTTGAGTGAAGATTTTAATTTTTATGCTCCGGTGGAGTCAATCAGCCAAACTAGTGACTGATTGATAAGATGTGGAGACAAATGTAGATCTGACATATTATTGTGTTTTCACTTAAACAAGAGGAAAGCATTTCAGTGATTTGAAGCCTCTTCTTCCTGAGGACAAACACGTTTTTCTCCATAACAGAGGGCAGAATGAGGGAGACTTTAGATTGAGGTTTATGCAGAAAAGTCAGATCTTTTCAGTATTATTTAAGTAAGCAGCTGGTCTTATTTTGTTGTTGGCAGCTGCTACAGTCAAATGGAAAACCGACGAGACAAGTTTGAACTGCTCGCTCTGTCTCTCCATCAACATTTCAATTAATTAAAGTGACTGATCCTGTTATGGAGGGTTAAAACCAGACCAGCATAGTTCAATACTAATGAGAATGTTAATAGTCTGAGATTAATGTGTTGGTTAGTTTAAATAATATGACACAAAAACATGTTTGATAAGGTTTGTTTATGTATAGAAATGCACCCTATAGGACACTTTACACTTGAAAACTGTTGCGTGGACACTGTTTATGAAAATATCTTTGGCATCTCTGTATTTGAACCTATTCATTTTTCATATGCTGCTACTAAATATATGATTTATTGATTGATCTGTTGTGAAAACCCAAAGAGGGCTGGATAAGAGCGATCCCAACAAGAATCAAGGCATCATGGGAGTGCTGCTTTAAATATAGAGTTTTACCTTCAATGTTCTCACAGAAATATTCAAGCAAGACATAAAGAATTCACTTATTTTCCCTCCACTATAGCAGATTCTACCAACGTTATGAACATTCTCATGAAAAAAGAATAAAAAGAAAACTCGCAATATGCTAAATTTTGGCAGTTGTGAATATGAACCAGGTTTCACTGAGCCTGCAAGACCTTGCAAGTAAATAATTGATCTTTTCATGACAAAGCAGACGAAGAAAGTGCATCTCCAAGCTGTTGCCCTGACTACCTTTCTGAACACATCATTTGAAATGCACCTTCTCAGGCGCAGCCGTTCAGAAATGCAGCGTTTTAATGAGTGCCACGAGGTCACAGCCTCCTGACCTCAACACGTCCATGAAATGCACGTTCGAATGGAAACAACATGATTTATCGGCTGTCCTGACTCGTGCAATTCGTATTTACGTTGCAAAATGAGTCGTGGAAAAATAAATCCTGTTGAAAAGCGTATGTGAGGTTGTGCCTTGGGCTTAAATCAGCAGAAAAAAAAAGATGATTCATGGGTATTTATACCACATATACACAGTACCGATGACCTCATTCACTCCCCGGTAGGTAAGTGGCCCTTGTGAATGAGCGAGTAGCGTCTTTGGTTTCTGCCAAACTTAATGACACACGCCTCTAAGATCTATCTGACTGTTTGAATCACCTCGTCGTTCCCTCAGCTGTCTGTCACACTTTGCAGTTGTCGTAGAAGCATGCCAGGAAACTCACAGTTATTGATATATAAATATTATTCATATTATTATTAGCAGAGACACACCGGTGCAAAAAAATCAGGGGAAATCAACGAGAGAGGCCTTGAAAGTAGAAGGAAAAAAATTAAATAAATCCCAGCTGGACCAGTCAGTGTTGGTGTGTGTTTGTTCTGACATGACTGTGGGGGTAAGCGAGGGCAGGGATGCTCACACCGCGGTCTGCGGCCCTGAGAGGGACAAAAATAGAGCCTCTCCATCAGCAGAAGCCATTACTGACTGCACACATTTGCTCGACCTACAGTATTTACTCATTGCGCGGCCTCTGATACTTCAGCCCTCCTCGTGCTCGTGTGTGTTTTCCTCACATTTTATCCCGGCTTCACCTTACACATCACTTTCCTCCCACGCTGTCTTTTTTCGTCGACATGAGAAGAGGCTTTTATTGGAAGAGGTTGGCTGAAGACCGAATTGCACGTAACGCAACCGCAGTCGCTGCATCGTCGACTGTGTCAAACGTATGCATTCATCGTGTGAACTCTTTTACTCCCTCTTTATGTGTTTGTTTCTTCTTTTTATAGTTTGAACCGTTCTCTCTTTTATTTCCTCTTGTTAACACTTCCCTCTCCTCTCTCTCTTTTTTTTTTTGCTAATTTCTCTTCATTGTAGCTCGTCTCCTTCTATCACTACTGATAAAGACACTGCTGATGCAAGTAGTAGAATATCTACTTTCACCTCCACTGCAAACCATGCACACGCAACAGACTAATTCCTGGATCGATAGCTGCAGTGGCCATATCGTGCATCGATTTGGCGAAGTTTGCAGGCATGCGCCGACAGCTTTTATTACAGCAGAGTTTACGCGACACGACGGGTAACACACAACGACAGAGACGGAGAACGTCGAGAGGGAACGGGATTCAAACTGGTGAGCCGCCGCCAACGCTGAGGGATGAATACTTAAAGACAGAAAGGAAGAAAACGAGCGAGAGTAGTGGCGCATGAATGAACGCTGTTGCCCTCCTGCCAGTGACTTGGCACGGCACAGCGTGGCACAGCTAAACCCGGCGTCACGCTGAGAACACACCTGCCAGTGGAGAGCGAGACGGAGGGAGAGGATCAAGGCTGGGGAGCAGCAGGAAAAAAAAAAAAGTTTCCGGTAAATGGTATTAAGTGAAACTGCAGAACAAGGAAGAGACGGAGGTTTCCACATTGTGCATCGGACAAAACTACTCAATGCAATAAAAATCTCTTCTGAAGCGACCTCGGCCTCCTTTCTTAGTGCAAAACATTCTTAACAGAGACGTACAAATCTGTACGTGTCGACTTGCAGAAATGAAATAAATGTAGAATCACAAAAGAGGCCGAGTGTAGCCAAAGAAACAAAACAGATGGGCTGATGTCAGACTTGGTTAAAGAAAAAAAAACAATGAATAAAATAATACGGCATGAGTGTAAGAATAACAGCAAAATAAATGGTAGGAATCAGAAAGAGGGAGGGTGTGTAAAGCGAATGCCGCACTTGACAGCAACACTTAGCCCACTCCATTATAACCTCTCAAAGAACTAACATTAGCCCTTTACTTAGCATAATAGTCCTCAAGCGCTAACTCGCTAAGACCTTTCTAATTAAGCATTCAAGTGCCCTGACTAGGCTGAATATTATGTTAATATAATGCCTTTATAATAATAAAAAAAAAACAATATGCAAAAACAATACTTTGGTTAAATAATAAGGAACACCCATTTCAGTGTGAGATGAATGGGACAAATTTGCTGCTGTTTTAATCAGTGAATGCGTCGGAGCTAACAAGCAAGTGCACGGGAGGAAGATGTGTTTCTGGAAAACTTTTTGCTTTAACTCATCCAGCAAACTCAGAGCTAGTCGCTACACCTAGCTCCCATTAGTTAGATAAATGTAGGAAACACTGATTGAAGTAAAGCAGCAACCCTAAAGTGACTCCTGTAAATGTCAGCCCTCCACTTTGAGGCGAGGACAAAGGAGGCAGGACGACGCTGGCTGGCGGACACGTGTCCCCTTTCATCCGGCTATTAGATCCGCCATTAGTATAGGCTGTGTCAGCATAATCAGAGGCTGGGGTAGTACACATGGCTTATAGACATATTAGAACATCGGGGGCATGAGCCTGTTCTACTGAGCTGATGCCAGCGTTAAAAAAAAAAAACAACTGAGAGAATGAAATCAAACGCTGGTGAATGTCACTCACACACACAGTGGGTGACGCTGTCGTGCCGGGTCATGAATATGGAGGCATGCAGCTGGAAATTAATCACCTTCTCAGCTGCAAAGTGGGACAAATGCTGTTGCTTTGCAGCTTGAAAGAGAGACGGAAGATTGAATAGGTGGATAGGACGGGGGACTAGCTGGTGATGATGTGTGTGCATGAAGTGTTTGGATTAAAGTTGTGCGTTTGTTTTCTTTGCAATCGAGCTAAACGAAGGAAAAAAACGACAAACTTTTTGATTGTTTTTCTCAAATTTGACATGATGAAGGGGAAGAAGAGCAGAGAGAGAGAGAGGAGCGCACACGAGGTTTGAAAATAAGCATTTCCTCTTCGTCAATTTGTGGCCCAATTTTTGGACAACACACACACAAACTGCACATGTGCGGCGTGTAACTCACAGGGTGAAGTTCTTCTCGGGGTAGCAGCGGTTCCTCAGCAGCCCCGCCCACAGCTGGACGCCGATGATGCCGAAGATGAAGAAGACGAAGAAGCAGAGCAGCAGCACGTTGCCCAGCATGGGGAGAGTGTCCAGCAGCAGGTTCACCAGGATGCGCATACCTGTTCGACAAATAATCACTGATTGAATATAGGGGGGAGGATTTACCATTTGCATATAGATTGCTTTGTCAGATCACGGCGGTACATTTAGGTTTATGAATATAGAACGTGGCAGTGCCAATGTAACTAATCAGCAACACAAATGTCAGTCCGAGAGGTTTTTCCGGGAGGTTTATGCTTCTGCACGAGCTTAAAATATGCAAATATGCTTCAAGGTATTTGCTGTTGCAGTTAAGTAATAATTAAGCACAAATTCTAGACGGTGAAGCTGTTTGAAGAGTTGTTTCCTACACTTTTGAGCACATGAATGACACATCAGCTCAAATTTATCTTTTGATAGCAAAAAAAAACAACAAAAAAGTAGTAAATAAAAACACACATCAGTACAGGAAGTTCACAGCCTCTCCAGAGGAGGCGGTGTGAAAGACAAACACATCTCAGGCGACAGCTGGAGACGCAGCATTTCCCGGCAAGATCGAGAGCTTCGACGCCGGAATATCAGCGACACAATCAGGCTACACCGGGTCTCGTTCGTGATTAGACGGAACCTAATTGCGGAAACACAGGCGCGTACCCAGTCGAACGATGATGACCTCATCCCCCGCCGACGGGCCCGTCCCGCTGTGATGACACGTCGAGACGGTGATTAGCGGAAACATAACGACGGCTGATTAGGGAGAGGTGAGAGCAGATCACATCCACACCTGAGAGAGAGGCGTGTCTACGTGCTGCCGTGACGATGAGTGTGTGTGTGTGTGCGTTCACGCCGCTACTTATCCGCTTGTGTGCGCGTTTGTGTTTCTCGGCGCCATATTGGGACTCGTGAATAACAACTCAACAGTAGGTTAATGTGTCACAACAGTGCATCTAAACTGCCAACAGACTGAATGACAGGAGAGAAGCTGAGAAAGAAGGAGACGGAGCGGAGAGAGGGAGACGATGAAGGTGGTGTTTACGAGAATACCTGTAGCTCGCTCGCTACACAAACACCACACCGTGTAAACACAAATACTGCCAGCAGAAAAAATAAAAAATGACACAGCTTATTAGAAAGATTCGCTAAGTTGTAATGATTGCTACTACTTCTAGATTAGTGCTCATGTGCCCGACTAATGTTTTCAGGAGCAGGTTTTCCAGGGAATTCCAGACGTCCCTCTCCCCAGCAATGTCTCCCAGCTCCTCCTGGGGGATCCCGAGCTGCTCCCAGCCCAGATTAGATATGCAATCACAGTTGGACATGGCAGGAAAATCTCCAAACGAAGGCGCCCTGGAGGCATCCAAATCAGACGCTCCAACCACCTCAGCTGGATCCTTTTAGACGAGAAGGACCGGGACTCAACTCTGAGCTCCCTCCGGATCTTCAAGCTCCTTACCAGAGGAGGAAACCCTTTCCAGCAGCTTGCATCTGCGATCTCGACTCTTCAGTAACTACCCAGAGCGTTGGAATGAGGATCGACTGGTAGATTAAGAGCTTCACCATCCGGAGCAGCTCCTTTATCTGCATCACCGCTGACCCGATCCGACAACCTGCTCACGTGTGCCGAATGCTTCACATGGCATTCCTTTTGCAAATGTTTACTACAACGCACCTCGTTGGTTTTAAGTTGCTGTGACATCTTTCTAGAATTAGCGATTTCATCTGAAAAAAGTCATTTTTTTCTGGAGGTGAGCGCACACCTGCATTTCCTCCTCTGGCTATTTTGTCTCATCAACTGTTATTAAATGGAAAGCAGCAGCGGCGGCGGCGGCGGCGCGTACGTGTCTCCGGTGGCGACTGGAGGCGAATCTAAATGTATTTGCTCCTCGGGGTCCTTGTCATTAGGCCACTGTTCCATTAGGCCTAATTGGGTGAGGAGAGGGAGAGACGGGTGGAGGGGGACGGGAGGGCGGGAGAACGAGACGAGGCCCGGGGGCGCAAAAAACCCAAAAAACAGGAAAGAAAACAAGCAGAAAAAATAAAGCATGCAAACAAAATAGGAGCACAGGAGGGACCAGAGAAACGGTACAGTATCACACAAATCACACTCTGGTTTTCCTCCTCTCTCCTTTTTCTACTTGCCTCCATCTCTGTCCCCTCCTGGTGACTTTACCAGTTTGCCAGGTCCTGCTGTTCCCAAATAAAGATGGATGCCTCCCCTTGTGCCACAATGGAAACACATTTACAGCTACCTGCCTGTGCTATTCACTGTAGTCCAAGAGAGCACTTTCTTTCTTCTCTTCTCTTTTCATTTCAGCGTCTATGTCATCTCTCCATTCCGCCCGGCTCTCCCTCTATCTCACACCGGTTTCATCCAAACGGAAGTCTAACGCCGCGGCGCGCACACGCAGGACTATTATCTGCCATTTTGTTGGAGGGTTACAAATTGGGGTGCGTCAGGGGTCAGGATGTGATCATGCTCCCCGCGTACCTGTGGGCAAAGCAGCGATCCAACACAACAAGGAACAAATAGCTTTAGCCCCACGCTTCCTCACCTCTAATGGGGTCACCAACAGGGGATGGAACCTGAATCATTACATGCAGCTCACTGACAACGTGCACAACGACAGGATCCACACGTCGCTCACACACAGCGACGTGAACAAACCCAAACAAGCTAATGCAAGACTCTGGCTCATATACAGTCATGAAGTTGCAAAGACCACATACATCGTGGCAGTCTTGGGTCTCCAATGACTTCTATAACTCTGAATTTTCCCTTTCTTTGAGCTTGACTGTAGGTTGCTGCTGATCACATGGACAAGAAAACTTCTGGAGGAAAGTTCTGTGGTCAGATGAAACAAACATTAAGCTATTTGGCCACAATCAGAAGAAATACATGTGGAGGAGAGAAGGTGAGGCCTTTAAGCACAAGAACACCAAACCTACCATCAGGCATGGCGGCGGCAGCATCATGCCCTGGGGCTCATTTTGCTGCCAGTGGACCTGGAGCTTTACACAAAGTAAATTTAATAATAAAGAAGGAGGATTGCCTCCACATTCTTCAGGAAAACTTAAAATAATCGGCCAGAAGGTTGATCTTGGACACAGTTGGGTCTTTTAACAAGACGATGAGCCCAGACACACATCAAAGGTGGTGAAGAAATGGTTGGGATTAAGGTTTTAGACTGGCCAACCCAAAGTCCTGACTTAAACCCGACCAATAACCTGCTGCATGTGATGAAGAAACAAGTCTGTGTCCAAGTTTGATGGGACCAATTCTGTCAAGAGGAGGGTCAAAGACACATCCAGAAGCTGGTAGACGGCAACCAAACAGCTGAAGTGAAAATGGCCACTAAATATTACCATCTGCTGTGTGTATGTTTTGATCCAGCTGATTTATCACACTTCAAGAAGCTGTTTTATAAATCCAGAATAGAACCAAAATGCATAATTGTTTATTGTGACAGAGATGCACGTGTTTCAATGATTCCGTCGCAGAGTTATGGGAGACATTGGAAACCCAAGGCCGCCACGATATACGGGGTGTTTACGAGCGGATGTAAACTTGTATTCACGGCTGTATACATACATAAATTATGCAGATGCTAAAAACCCATGTGTCTGGAGATTCATTCTCATAAAGGCGGATTTGTTTACAATCTGTACACTTGTCCCTGAATCACCGTACACACTCCGCTGCACACAATATCCCCAAATCAAACCGTTCCAAGCATAATGAAGTTAACAGTTATATTTCCTGAGTGCTGCTGCTGCTGCTGCTGCCGAGGCTGAAATATTGGGCTGAGCAGGTTCTCCGTTAATGGCTCCACCTGAAAGGTAGCATGTCCTTCGGAACGGCCGGGAAAGTGAAATCAATGCAGGCACTGAAGGCAGCTCTTTCAGGTAATTACACTAAATATGAAGAAGCTGCCATAATTGGACGCTTAAACGTTGAGCAAAAATCAGGAAGGATTTCGTTCTGGGCGGAGGAGAAGCTGTGACTGTGGATTTGTGTGCATGCATTTGTATTAGTATTTTTAAAAAAGCAGAAAAAGGAACACATGTTAAAAGCAGAGTAACAAGATCAGAGGATGTAATAAATGACAAAAAGTGGTTAAATAATTAAGAGGAATAGAACAAAGGGAGATGTTGGCTTGTGGAGATAACCAGAGGCTGTGGATCTCACACACAAACTCAATCTGCTCATCTGTTTCCTCACAAGGAATACTTATTTGAATTCTTTATTTGTTTGCTATGTAGCTCTGAAACGCATCACCCTATACATGCTTTCATAATTTTATCTGTAAGGCCACTTTTTAGTCTCCTTCTGCAGCACTGCGTCCTTATATCTTAAAAAAAAAAAAAAGTGAAAATTACTGTCCTCAGTCGGTAGAAATGTGTCCTTTTTTTTCTACAATATTTGTCCCCAAGGTCCAAACAGAATTATGCAACAGGGCTTTCATGCAATCGGCTCCATCTGCTGCAGACTCATTTCATGATTATTTAAAAGTGGAAGATGCAGTCTCTCTCGGATAGGATACTGAGGAAAAAGTTTTGAGACGTCTATCCGTCTTTCAGCCAAGAAAAGAGGAACACTGGGTCTCTTGATAAGGACCGAACTCAAGTGTTCTGTTTATTCGCTCTGATGAAGCTGATAAAGTAAAAAAGAAGAAAAAAAAAACACTCAACAGAGAGATTCAGTGCTTTTTTTTTATGACCTGCTTTTCTTATACTATCCACAGAAAAAGACTATTTATTCATACTTCATTACACAAAATTAGCATTAGCTGCTAATACGTGGCTGTCCGCTCAAGTGCTGGAACTAAGTGATGAGACGGGTCTGAACTGAGCTCGAGCAGGCTAATTGGTGCTTACAATGATTAGAAGCAGCAGGACAAAGAAATCAATGGGAGCTTAAAAAAAAAAAAAGTTTGACCAGAGAACTGAGTTGCAGATGAGAGCATCGGGGTTACGGTCACACACCAGTCAGTGGAGCGGCATTAATGGACGCTTTGTAAATCTGATAAAGCTGTGACTCAGGGCTCGAGCCGACTGTGTGATTAAGATTAATGTTTCATGATGCCCGCGGGGAACAGGTGGCACGGTGGATGCACGAGAAAAAAAAATACATATGCATGAATTTATGTGCTTTATGCGAACTGACGGGCATACATAAGCAAAAGTGTGCACAGACGAGGCTCGAGAGAACAAACCTACTTGCACAAAACACTTACTTGGCACTCTGTTGATGGCTTTGAGCGGCCGAAGGACCCGCACCGTCCGGATGGCCGACAGGTTGATGTTCTGCAGGTCCAGTGAGTACTCCACCATCCTGGATGTACAGAGAGGGAGAGAGAGAGCGACACACAGACAAAAAAAAAAAGAACATTATTTAACCTTTTTGCGGCTGCCTCGATGAACTGTGCGACTAAAGTGGATTACCAAAGCCCTAGCCAGAACACAGATCCCCGCTCATGATTCCAGATCAGCGGCCAATCTCTCATCTTGTCCTACCTGTGCCCTCTCGGAGCTCTGCGAGTCTCAACTGTACGGGACAAGCGAGGTACAACACTCAGGAGGAGAGGTGGGGGGGGATAAAGTGACAAAGCATCAAAAGGGAAGAATAACATGAAAGAGAGGTGAGGAAGAGAAAGGGAGCGGGATAAAAAAAGGGATACATTCTATTCTAAGTGTTGCCTGCAGGATGTTGTGGCTCAGTCAGAGCCTGGCATCTGTTAGCAAGTCATTTCCACAGCATGGCTAAGCTGTTTGTGCCCCCAAACCCAAACCACTTTCACAGGAGAATGGTCACGGTTTGCCGTATGTGTGTGTGTGTGTGTGTGTGTGTGTGTGTGCATAAAAGCAGTGTGTACGTTTGAACGCGCCACTACATGACTGTAATCACACAGTCAAGAGAGTGAGTGAGGTTGACAGTACATGTGTGGTAAAATGACAGAATAAATGCCGCCGCGTGCATGCATGTGTGCACAAGTGGTTGTGTAACGTTTCAGCGAGTGTGCGCACACACACACACACACACACACAAAGATAAATAAATAAATAAAGAAATGAATGCGCCTGCAGCTACAGCAGTGTTGGGACAGCATGATACCAACAGCAGCAGCACCAGCACCACCACAAGCTAATAACCCGAAGCACATCCGCTCGCTCCGACAAAAACAAGCCGAGCTCGCAGTCTCTCACACAGATAGACTTATGAACCGTGCCATTTACAATAATGTGATACTTTATTGATCCCACAGGGAAGCTCTTTCCATTTGCCCTTCACCAACAGCACAGAGTCATCAACAGAGTAGCACCCCAGCTCACACTTAAGTAGGATTACAAGGGTTTGAAGTGCTGCACGGCTGACAGGCAGTCCCTCTCACCACTAACAACCTATTCCTGCACTGGTGAAATATTTAAAATCACACTTTTAGGTGAAATCCTTTTCGCTGCCTTGTGTCACCAGCCTTATTTCTTTTGTTATTAAAGTTCAAAGAATCCATTTTTGCAAGAATGTAGAGGCATGTTGCGGACCAATTTTCTCTTCCTTGCAAAGTGCAGAAATGCCACGCAGCAGCTCGATGGAAATGTCAAAGTATAGAGACGACTGGCACAACAGTTGTTTTGCGTGCCGGCTCTTTTCCAGCGGGGCACGGCGGTGTTATCACAACCGTGCTCAAAAACAATAGTATCTGTGCCGGTTCTAATGATTTGATGGGGGATGCTGAGAGACTCAACAGAGGGGCTAAAATGTCAAAAGGGAGCTTTGAGGCAATTAATACACACATGTGCGCTTCCCGGTGAGACGGCGGACGCACACATCTGATATTTGAAGGGGCTTAATGAGGTTACAGGGCGAGTAGAAACTCTTAGACAAACCTCTCCAAATGACGGATAAGCACAGGTACTGTTTCACCAGCGATCAAACAACATGTTAAGTGAACACAAATGTACCTGCGTGTGTGTGTGTGTGTGTGTGTGTGAATGGCAACTGTGTGCATGAATGTGTGTGTTCTATAGAAGTGCCTCTTCCTGTGCACATCAATCAGGCCGATGTGTTTGGGAGGGTAATTAGTGGACCGCCGCGAGCGTCCTTTTTGTGATTGTTCTCTATTTTTTGCTTCTTTTTTTTTTTGCTCGTGACGCCTTCATCTCATTCATGCTTTCATGTGACAAGCATGTGTGTGTGTGTGTGTGTGTGTGTGTCTGCATGTTTATTTCGGTGTAAATGTCGAGCCTCGGGGGAAACCTCTGGCAGACCCAGTGAGAAGAGCTCAGAGGCACAAACGGGACGAGGAAACTGACTCGGGCATGAATCTAGTCATTCGTGAGTCACTGCAGGTTGCGCTGGAGCGACTTAAGCACAACATCAGCAAAATGTCATCATTGAACTTCCAAGTTCTGTGTCAAGAAATGTGCTCCTGCTTCATTTACATAAAACACACAACAGCCTTGCTTGCTAAAACAACATGTTCGACTGTGACCTCCTCAGAAAGTTCTTTTGGCTTCTTGTTTTGTTTAATCGTGAGAAAATCCTTCATCATCCCTTTGTCCATTTGTTTCAACCTATCTGACGCACACATTAGAATAAATAAGAAAGGCAAGGCTGGCGTTTTTGTCAAAAGCATCTTCAATTTAATCATCAAGCGCAAGAAGACATGCAAAGACTTTCCTGTTATTATTGCAAATATCAGACTGGGAAGGAAACATAGGTCTCAGTGCAGCAGGTTAGGCTGAAATAAAATATACAAAAGACCCTTTTTGGTGCACATCTGGACAAATGTGTGGGGTCTGAGTGGGAAGATGTTCGTCTGAGTAAGTCAGAAAGAAAGAAAGAAAGAAAGAAAGAAAGAAAGAAAGAAAGAAAGAAAGAAAGAAAGAAACAAACAAACAAAAGAAAGAAAGAAAGAAACAAAAGAAAGAAAGAAAGAAAGAAAGCGTGCGGTGGGTAACAGACACGGAGCTCAGAGCAGAACGTCGGCTGTGTTTTGGCCTCGGCAACGCTGGCACTGCCCTCCGCAATTAGCCTCGACGCTAATCTAATGGATGCTGCCAAGAGGAAAATGAAGACCGAGGTGCTCGCACAAACGCGCATACAAACACAGACACACACATTAAACAAACTCTTAAGGCAAAAGCTGACAGACTGTAATTCTGCACCGCAAACACACACACACACACACACACACACACACACTCACTAGTGCACACAAACTATGAGCGTCCGCTGAGGATAAACTGAATCAGCTCAAATGAAGATGAATGTCCCTCCACCTGCACCCGAGAACCTCTATTGTTGTTTTTCTGACACCGTACCGGCCGCTCTTCTTATATACCTCCAACACACACAGCCAGGACATTACACTGACTTGTATTACTTTTCTTAGACTCGAACCCTGAACCTAAGTCTTACTCCCACCTTAAACCCAAGTCTATACGAGTTGTATGACACATTTCTGATTGGGAGATTCTGATGGTTGTGTTGGTCCAGTTTCCCTTCCAGCCTGCAGACATACAAACCCAACAAACAGCCAGTTTTATATTCTGACCCATCATCAGACGAAGTCGTTAGTTAGAAACAGATAAAAAATGTTATTTTAACAGGCTACAGCTAAAAGTAAGGATGTTTGGTGCACTGATATCTGCCAATTAGAGCGTCCACAAC